GATGATGATGAGGAGGAGGAGGAGGAGGAGGAGGAGGAGGAGGAGGAGGAGGAGGAGGAGGAGGTGAAGGAGGAGGAGGTGAAGGAGGAGGAGGAGGAGGAGCCCCTAGATGAAGAAGAAAATGCATTCGTTAAAAAATGTATACGTCATTATGCAAGTCAAATTGAGGTGAAGGATATTTGGCTAAAAGCTAGAGATTTGTTGCATGTTTTGTGGTCTGGTGGATTTGATGAGCATAGATACGCGAGGTATTATTTGCGTGCAGAAGTATTGCTGCCTTTCTGTCTGAGTAGACAGCTTGGATTAAAACTGTATGTCTCTCAAGATCACACGCACCGCAAACTCAAAGAAGCAGCATTATGCTGTGGGAGGGCTTCCATTAGAGAGCTTCCTGACGGACCAGAAAGCTGCACCGGAACTTCCCGTGTCACTTCTATACGTAAACTTGCTTCCAACATATTATCATTGTTCATTTATAAAACGGTGGAGCGGAACTGGCGCAGCGTGGATCAGGGAGAGCATGATGATGATGAGGAGGAGGAGGAGCTAGCGGTTCCGCCCTATGATTTTTGGGCCATCATGGACGCGTTTTGGAATCAGTTTTGTGCCACATTTCCAGAGGCGGCTGAGGAGGATGATGATCACATTCAAGGGAGGATGTTAGTAAGTCCTTACGATCAAATATTCAGGACGTTAGGCCTACACCCACTTGAAGTCTACCTCAAGTTCGCGAGCAAATTGTCCGGGGTGTATACCACCAATAGCACACATGCTGATCTCACAATTCCTTTCAATTCGGCGTTGGCTGAGTGTCGGGCTGCGCATGCCGAGGCTGCGCATGCCGAGGCTTCCAAGGGGGATGATGATGCCGAGGCTTCCGAGGGGGATGATGGTGCTGCTCCCGCGGAAGATGGTGCTGCTCCCGCGGAAGATGGTGATCATGCTGCGGAAGAGGATGATGAGGATGATGATGCTATGAATGCAAGGCAAGCGCAATGTAAACGAAAAGCTGCAGCGAAA